AATAAATAAACATGAAAAAGTGAGATGTGGATTCTCCCTCAAGATCCAAATGGCCACTCTGGCTGCCCTGTCCTTGTACGGGCAGTGGAAAGTAGAAGAGAGACTGCCTCCCATTCCTTCTAAGAAAGGGGCTTGTGTCATTTCTGCTCACATGCCATTAGCTAAAACTTAGTTACATGGTGATGTTGAGCTGCAGAGACTGGGAAATGTCGTCTTTATTCTGGGCATGGCGGGGGAGGTGGTGCATATCCATCTAAAACTTACGGTTAAGGTCTCAAACTTAGGGGTTGAGGGCAAGAGAGGAGAACAGATGTCGGGGGCCATTATTTGCTTGGGGGTTCCTGTAACTAGTCTGCGTGGGATGCCCATTCGTCTTTCCTCAAAGAAAGTCTAGTTGATCTGCAGTTATTGGCCCAAGCCCTACTGAGGAGTTAACTTTAATGCTGTTTTTTAGAATTGCAGTCAGAATGTTCTTATGCTGAAACAGCCGTAAATATGAATCATTATTGGTTCGAAAATTTGAAAATTCACTTAGTGGTTAAATCCGATTTGGGAGTCGCTGCTTTACTGAATCTCGAGCTTAGACACACCAGCTGGTGGCTGGGGTGGCAGACAGGCCGACAGCTTCTGCCGGTTGACTTTGGAAGCAGAACTCTACGCCGTTTTCTCTTCAAGTGACTCTTTCCTCCTGACATCACCGCAGTGTCCCTTAACGAGCAGTTTCTCCAGTGTTCTCTGCAGCCATACTTCTCTGGTTATTATGTGGCTTTGGATTAATATGCCATATCTGTCGCTTCCTGGAGGAGAAAAGCAGTCCCATTTATTTCGCCACGCCTCTGCTCCTCTGCAGACCACAGCCACTCCTAACAAGTGCAGGGATGAAATCTTGCGGATCCATTTGTCCTTTGGGTGCGTTTAAGAACCTTGACAACAGGACACTTCGGTGCTGACTGTTTTGAAGAAGCAAACATAAAAACAACTTGAGTGTTTCCTTTCTAGGTTTTTAGGCCTCACTAGCAATTGTCGGGAGACTTGCCTTCCCCGGGCGCAGCTCTGGGCTGCTCAGAGGACCTTCGTGCCCGGGGAGCCCATGCTCTCACAGCCCCCTTCAGCTGCCCCAGAGATAACCCGGATAAACACCAGCCCCTCTGCGAACCTCCTGATCCCTGCTGGGCCTTGCACTGTGGGGAGGTTCAGAGGACGTGTTTTCCTTCCCTACTGGCCCTTCTGTCTACCCTCCCTCCAGCTGCCTGCCTCCCCCACCCCCAAGTAACGTGATCTCCCTGGCCTGCTCTCTGCTGGCCAGATTCTTTCAGTCTTAGAGAAAGAGAAGGAAAAGTTAACCACTGGTGTCCCAGGTCAAAGTGAACAAAACTATAAAAGCCAAAAGCAGCGTTTGAAAAGAAAACGGGTCTGGCCCATTCGGGCTTTTCCTTTATCAGTGTTTCTGCGTAAAGTTTGTGCTTAAGCTTACCTTATTCTAAAGATAATAGTCTGAAGCGTTTTGACTTTTGCAACATTGCTATTTTTGATTTGGTTTGGAGTTAGCCTACTCTTTAGTCAATATTCAGATTAGAGGCAAGCAAACGAGATTTAGGGATTTAAAATAAAATTCTTTGGCATTTATTATAAAAGTTAACTAAAGTAAAGGGACAAAGACAATTCATGAAAATGCATGGAACCTCTCTGAGTTGAATTCATGCACTTAGAGTTTAATACCAATTATCCCAGACTATATTTTGTGTAATAATATATCTGTTTAGGGGCACCTGGATGGCTCAGTCGGTTGAGCGTCCGACTTCGGCTCAGGTCATGATCTTGCGGTTTGTGAGTTCGAGCCCCGCATGAGGCTCTGTGCTGACAGCTCGGAGCCTGGAGCCTGCTTCAGATTCTGTGTCGCTCCCTCTCTGCCCCTCCCCTGCTCATGCTCTGTCTCTCTCTGTCTCAAAAATAAATAAAAACACTAAAAAAAAAATCATGTATCTGTTTATAACTTGACTTGTCAATGGATGTAAGAATTCAGGCTTTGCTTGCTTCTTCATCACCGGCAATATTATGATTTGAAGCCTGTGGTGTGCAACAAACTGTAAATAGTTTTGCAGCCTGGTGTCCTAAACTGGTCTGTCCGCTCTTGATGATGGATACGGTACCTACCTAGCGGGTGTGACATAATGGGAAAAAAATCTAACGAGGGTCTGGGTTCTTTCCCTGGCTCTGCCATACTTTGCTGTGAGACCTCATGCAAGTTGTTTAACCTGTCTGTGCCTCAGTTACCTCATCTATAAAATGGGCAATAGAGATTCGGATTAAAAATGATTAAAGATTGAAGACCTGTTTTTATCTCTATCTGTTCCCAAGCCCAACTGAAATGATAATATGAAGATGGTTTTTTTCTAAATGAAAATGCGTGAGGGCAAAAGAACCAAAAAGGATAATTGGACAAGAAAGGTGAACACAGTTTTCAAAATGGAAGATAGTCAAAAGCAAATTGAAACCTAACTTCTTCTGAGAGAGGTATTGATTAGAAGTGAGCCAGTGTGCTTGTAAGATCCCGAGGAAAAGAATTAACATTAGATGCATTAGTACAGAAAGCAGGGGATGGTGAGGCCTATTACTGGAATTGAGGGGATTGGTTGAAAGTTGGTTTAGATTCTTTACGCTCCTCCCCAACTCTACAGCAGATGGCCAGCTCTCCTTCCCACCTAGAAGTATTATATTGACAGATTGCCCTAAGGACTCTGGACTCAGGGGCATTGCCCCCACCAGTGGTACAAATAAGCCAAGGGGCTGATAAAAGACTCACTTCGAGCTGTCTCATTGTGAAATTTCAGAACACTAAGGGTATTAGAAGATATTCCAGAGCTTCCAAAGACAAAACAGGGTCATATGTGCAGGATCAAGAATCAGAGCGGAATTGCATTTCTAAACAATACTGGAAGCTAGAAGCTAGTGCAGAAACGTCTTCAAAATTAAATGGGAAAAGTTACTTTTTTTTTAATTTTCTTTTTTCTTTTTTAAAATTTACATCCA